GATGGCTGCGCCCATCCCAGTACACGTGGTCGGTGGTCATCTACAGCACGAGGTGGCAAAAAGGCTGGGTTTCCCCCCTCGTCACTGCAATGGAGCCCCCTGCGCTGATCCCATGGGTCGGGATCCCGCATTATAGGCGAATGCGGGCAGGCAGCGGGCTGCACGGAGCTGTGGCGCTTCTCCGCTCGGCGGAAAGGTGCGCCAGGGAGGTATTCGCGGGGTCTCGCGGTGGGGCTGGGGTGTTTGAGCAGCAGCGGCACCGCTTTCACACGCATGGCTTAGCCGCGGCAAGCGGCGGGGCGGCAGGGGCTTCCCGGCAGTCTTGGTGTGCTCCGCTGCTCGAGTTTCTCGAGCCGTGGGCTCGCTGCCGCTCAGGGAGCAGCCTCGGCCGTGATGTTGGGTGCTGGTGCTGCTTCTCAGCTCACTCACCGCTCCAGTGGTTGGTCGACCCCGCTCCGCTTTCTCCGGTGCTGCTCCCAGTTTCTCGGCTTCTTCTTTTCTTCTTTCTTCTCTGTTCCTGTGCACTTTTCCCTAATATTTTTGAGCTCTCTGTACTAACTGCATTTCTCAGATTCGGCTGAGACAATGACTTGTAGATGTCTGAGTTTTTTTCGGTGAAAAATTCCCGTATCCTAAAAATTGATACGATAACTGGAATTTACTGATATTCCCCTGATTCAGGGTATTCTAATCTACCTAATTTAGGTTCTAAGCCCCAGTTCGGGTCGCCATGTGTAGCGTGGAGTCTTTATATGATAAAGAAATGGAGTCTGCTCCCCGATCAGACGGTAATCAAAGAGAGTTTAATGCAAACCCAGCGCTCTTTTTATCCCTTAAAACCATGTGGCCTTGTGACCAATGGGGTTGTCTATTCCGGCGCATGTCTCTTGGGATTCCCTGCCCTCAGTGCGTCCCCTGCACCCCTGGACACACCTCCTACAGAGGTACTTTGGTGCAACTATCAGAAGTGGAAGTATGTTTAATATCAGCATGAAAGAGTGTTGAGAAAATAAAGAAATCAAATGCATAAAATTACTCAAAGCCATGCTAGTGTTAATTGGTACCAGCACTGCAAACCCTTTCCTATCTTCTCTTCTGCAAGACGAGGCATATTTGAATATGAACACAGATTTTGGATACCTAGAGAATCAATAGATAGAACGCGATTGCCACAGTGAGTTTCCAAAACTCAATCCTACTATTTTCAAATCCTCTCTGCTTGAAAACAGAAGAACAGCACAGGCCTCAGAGAATGGCACAGGACTCCAGGATCTGGGCTGCTCTGGTTGACATTGTGAGAATCCATCCTAGGAAGTTAAAAAAAAAACAAGCCAAACCAAACAAACCAACCAAAATCCTTCTTAATGACTACACAAATTTGAAGTTAAGAACAACGTTATCTTGAATTTACAATTACTTAATTCCCACTAACAGCAGAACAAAATTGATTCTCCTTTACAGTCAAGCCTTTTTATGGCAATCCATCAAAATCACAGAATCATAGAATCAGCCGTGCTGGAAAGGACCTCCAAGATCATCAAGTCCAACCCTTGATCCACTACTACCGTGGTTACTAGACCATGGCACTAAGTGCCACATCCAGTCTCATCTTAAAAACCTCCAGGGACAGAGAATCCACCATTTCCCTGGGCAGCCCATTCCAATGTCTGATCATCTTCTCTATAAAGAATTTCTTCCTAATATCTAACCTAAATCTCCCCTGGGCAGAGCTTAAGACCATGCCTTCTTGTCTTACTGATAGCTGCCTGGGAGAAGAGACCAAACCCCTTTCAGGTAGTTGCAGTGATGAGGTCTCCCCTGAGCCTCCTCTTCTCCAGGCTAAGCAAACCCAGCTCCCTCAGCCTCTCCTCATACGACTTGTGTTCAAGTCCCTTCACCAGTCTTGTTGCTCTTCTCTGGACCTGCTCCAGCACCTCAATATCCTTCCTGAACTGAGGGGCCCAAAACTGGACACAGTACTCGAGGTGTGGCCTCACCAGTGCTGAGCACAGGGGAAGAATCACTTCCCTGGCCACACTGTTCCTGATCCAGGCCAGGATGCCATTGGCTTCTTGGCCACCTGGGCACACCGCTGGCTCATGTTCAGCTTCCTATCAATCAGGTCCCTTCCTGCCTGGCTGCTCTCCAGCCACTCTGTCCCCAGCCTGTAGCGCTGCAGGGGGTTGTTGTGACCAAAGTGCAGGAGCCGGCACTTGGCCTTGTTGAACCTCATCCCGTTGGAATCAGCCCAACTCTCCAGCCTGAACAGGTCCCTCTGCAGAGCCTTCCTGCCTTCCAGCTGATTGACACTCCCCACCCCAGCTTGGCGTCATATGCAAATTTGCTAATGGTGGACTCAATCCCATCATCTAAATCATTAATAAAAATGAGGTAGTAATATTTAAAGGCCCCTTTAAATATTTAAAGAGTCTCTGGGGCTGAATAAAAATAAAACCATGGTCAGCCTATAGCTGTTCATCTGGTTCATGGTTTCTCATCAAGAAAGCAACTGAGGTGCCTGAGTATTTTAAGAACTGCAGCATAATCTTGATTTATGTGTGAGAATTGAGAGCAGAATTGGAGAAAACTTGAATTTTGGCAAAGCTGTTGGAAAGGAGAGGTGTTCAACAATGAAAAATGCAACATCTATAGACTTAAGGGTCATGGGTATATCTTTAGACCAAAGTATGCTATGGCCACACAAGTTGTGCTTTTTGAGAACCAGATACCACAACTGAAGTAGGGTTTCCATAGAAAGACAATGAATATATTTTCTTAAAGTATTAATCATAAAAATAATTTGTCTTTTCATTTGAGTAAAGGATTAAATGGAACGGTTCCACCTGAGTTGCATCCAGCTTTCAGAACTTCCCCCACACCCCGTGAACATTCTGGTAAGGCCACACTGCTGAAGAGAGCAACCTACCGTTTGATCACTTGGCAAAACGACCTGCTGTTGGTAGGTTCAGAGAGAAATATCTACTGGTCGTGCCTTATTTCAAAAGGAAAACACTGGGGCAGATAACCCAGGTGTTAACAACACCCAAACCACACTGAGCCTGCAGGGATCAGAGCAGGTCCTCTGTCAGGAAGGGTAATTATGAAACAGCACATATTTTACAAATGAATTTACTCCCAAAGTGAGGTAAGCAGAGCGGAGCAGACAATTGTGTAATTATTTTTTTCCTTTTCTCTTTCGTGAACAGAATTACACCCTCCTTTGATTTATGTTGTAGATGGTGGCTTTTTGGTTTTGTTTTTTTGGGAGGTTTTGCGGTTTTCTCTTGTGGTGGTGGTGGTGGTTTTGGGGTTTTTGCTTTGCTTTGTTTTTTTTTAAACAGCAATGCAGAAGGCTGAGAAGGAACATGAAGAACATGCTTCTATGAAATCATACTTTCTAATCAGAGTAATGAAAGGAAAGCCATAGCAACAGTTTCGTGATTTCTTATTAAGGTCACAGGAAGTTTCTTAATGCAACATGATACTGTCCACCAGTAATAATTCAACAACAATTAATAAATTCAACATCATGACAGAGCTGCCATCCAAGTATCCTAATACTGAGTCTAGCTGGCATTAAGAAGGGAAACTAAAACAGGGGGAGGAAGAAAGCTTTCCCCCCGAAAAGCAAGAGGAAAAGCACTGGAAATCTGCAATTTTTTACTGTCTTTTGAGTGGCATTTTTTCCTCTTTTTTATTCCTTTTAAAGTAAAGCCACAGGTCTTCTTTTGTTCAGCAACGCTTGTCTTACAGGGACATGTAAAATCTCCATCTGAGGCCAGGGCCCCTGTCTGGTATGTCATCAAAAGCAAGGGCAATGAGGATTTGTTCAAACTGTAGATGTCAATGCAGTGTTGAGGTATGGGAGCTGGTGCAGATGTTAGAAGTAAACTGACCATTGTAACGTGCAGCTTGTGAGAAGCTGAATAAAAGGTCCACATGAGCTCATCCTGATAGTAATACAGAATTTATCCTACAGCAACCCATGATGACAGTCTTAAGTATATTTCAGCAAAAGTTCCATGCGCATACCAACTAAAATAGAAAGATGAAAGCTGAAACGAGTGAGATGATCTCATACATGGACCCAGGAACTCAGATGACAGAATGCTTTCACCTAGCACAATCCCTCTTGGTTGCAGCTGAAGTGGAATTAGCACTTCCTCCAGGAGCAAGGATGTCTCACACAGGTTTGAAGGCCGTGCTTCTCAGCATAACTTTTCCCCCTCAGAAAAGTTATGTTCACAGAGATGTTCATTGAAAAAGTGTAATTAGTATTTCTGTGTAAGCACTCTATTCACAATTATTTCTCAAACCTTTTGTTAAAACTATTATTCTTTCACTCCAAAGTAGAAATAGATTCAATCAAGCTATCTGATAATTCACAATATAAAATTTCAAGTCTTGGAAAGAAAAAAGGTACAGCCTGTGTCAGAAGTACAAATTTACAACCCTTGCAAAAAACCTATTCACCCTGCAGCCAGCACACAGAAGCAGCATTTATTTACCCTTTTGATGTACAAATAAAGCCTGAGAACATTTCTCATATCCATTTTTATATCTCTATACCTATTACTTGCAGTGATTCACATTGGCTGAAACGAGGTTGAATCAAAAGTTTCGTTGGTGCTTCTTTGACAAACATATCACAGATTTCTCCCTTTCAATATCCTCAGCCTTAAAAAGATAACTGATGTTAAACAGATTGAGGACCACACCTGTTTCAGTACATTTCAGTATCACCTATAAAGAACACTCACACTCTAAGAAACCTCAAGAAAAGGAGAAGTAACAAGTGTTTTGGACTAAAAAACTGGAAATTATAATTTTTTTGTTGATACTTGAGAAATTTTTTATAGAACAGCATGAACATTGAATCCCATCTTTACTCATCAGACAACATGCTTGCATTTTTCACTGGGAATAAAGACACTTCAGGAGACAATAAATTATTCACTTATAATCAAAGGGGAAAAACCCCAACAACCAGACAGTCTTACCTTCTTTTCAAAGGATATGCCAACATTCCTGCCTGCAAATTCTGTTTTTTCAGTGCTTCCCACAACTATTTCTTGAGTGACTTCTTCATTGGATGGATCTGCCTTCATCTTGGGTTGCTCTTTGCAGTGTTTCTGCTCTAACGCCACATGCACACAGTAGGAACTCCTCAATGCTGATTTTAAAATAACAGGTTGTCTTTTCCAGTGTTCTTTTCTGTATAGACACAATAGAAATATTGAACTGGTTAGTTGTGTGTGACTTGTAAAGGTCTGCTGTAGCATTACTAGCAATTGGCATCTTAATAAGTAATTAGATGATCATGCAGCATACTTGAGTGATAATGCAAAAATAGATAATTTATGGGAGAAAAAATACTAGGCTGGGTAATTGACACTGGGCAATACACATGGTCTGCACTGAAGTTTGCCACATTCATTCATTCTGAGGGTGCCCCCCAGAAAACACCAGCCTTCCTGCATCTGCACTTCAACAGCTCCTGCCCTGAGGGACACTTTTACATCGTGGCAGCTATTCAATGAAAATCCCCAAACAAATAAAAATTCATGTTTTATGAACACGTGGCCTGCCTCTGCCACAAAAAACAAACAAACAAACAAACAAACAAACAAACCAACCAACCCACCAAGGTTTCTTCAGCACAACCCTCTAAATGTTCAAGACTAATCTCTCACAAAGTAAATCTAATGGCAGCTGAAGGCTTCAAAACCAGGCCTTGCCCATATCTTTTCTGTACAGAATTTATCCAGGTGGATTTTTACCACATATGGATAGCACAGAACGACTTTAGCAAAACTGTAGGACTCCCTGGTTCCACTTTACAGTAACAGGTTTGTCAAGCTGTAAGTCAGACTTCTCCTGTGCAAAGAACTCCAGGCTGTCAAAATGCCTGCAGTGTTGTAAATAAAAATGTCTGCTGAGAAATGAAACTACTGTATGAAAGTACCTATATTTTTTTTCCTGAGTTCCAAACTTCTCTCTGCCTTCCCACCCTCCCCCTGCATTTATCCCCCAGCTTGAGTTTAAAAATGTCATGAGCTGAGCAGAGGGCATAAGCTGTCTTCATCTAAATGCAAGAGGCAACTCCTCCTTTAGCTCATGTGTGTTTCACAGACAGGAATTGCAGGGAAGACAAAAAATTCAATAAAATAACCGTACATGTTCTCAGCATCATTATGGGGTAACTCTTTGTCATGATGATAAAAGGACATCAAGATTGAAATTCTTGGAAGTAGAATGACAGCTACAATAGAGTACATGCATCATTCCAACCTTAATAATTCCAAATTGTAAGAGTTTCAGACCAGGGTGCTTCAGCGTGTTGCTTGAAAGCACCCTCCCTATAAATCCAGACAAAAGCTTGGGATACGCTCCTTCCAATCTAAACTCATCAGTGACAATACAAAGAAGGAACTGAAGAGAAAAACAACTGTGGGAATAAAAAAAAAAAACTAATAAAAAATTGCCTGTAGCACCAAAACTACTCAGTTTTAAAATCAAAATTCTGCTTATGATTAGAAAGCCACCAACAATTATGTTGTGCCACTGAGCCTTTCTAGCACAGGAGAGGCATTCCTAGGAAGAAGACTTTCCTCAGGACTAAGAATTCGTTCTTTACTGTCATCCTACCTAAAAAAGAAAACTGTTTTTAAGACCTAATGTGCAGCACAGCAGCCTGTGCTGTTTGGAAAATCCTCAGAAAGTTCAGACATGAACTTTTGACGGGTAAGACATGAAAAGTCTTGTCTGTCAGACAAATTCAGAGTTGATGGAGAGTGTTCTGTGCTTTACAGAAGAGCCTCACCAGTGCACAGGATCTGACCGGCGACAATCTGTGGGGCACAGTGACATCCCAGTAAACTGAACCATTTCAGCAGGTGTATTTCTAGGATTTATTCAGGGAGGGCTACTCATATGACCTCTGAAATACCCATGGAAGAATCCTAAACACAAGTATGAAAGCTCAAGATTTCACTTATTTAAGGGTATATTTGAAAAGTTGATTTTTCTTTCCCTTCCCCTAAATAAAGAGAACCTACAGGAAGTTCAGGAATTCCTCCCAGTCTCCGTCATTAAACACGTCTTCCTCCCAATGTCTGCATGCACAGTATACACAATCTCAAAGCACAAATCCCAATTAGCCCAGCACAGACATAATTTCGATGCTCTCTGCTTCTGAATATCAGATTATGTGAAAATTTAAGCTGCTCTTCTGACCTCAGAGATAAACAGATTATCTTTTCCAAATGCACAGGTTATGGTTATTCATATTCATGCCCTCTGCGACAATCACAAGTAATAACTGCAATCAGATCATTACAGGAGAGCGGGTTGGGGGATAGGATGTGCTGAAGTCCAGCCTCCTTGGGAAAAACAAAGTCACGTTACCATGTGCATAAGAAATGTTAAATTTTGATTGTCTGATAGTTGATGATAATTCTAGAAACTCTTTTCTCAGTTTTATAGCCTCTGTTTCCTCAGCCTCTCTCCCTGGATCCAGTTCTCAGCCCACACAGTGGTACCAGGCCTCACGCCTCAGGCGCAGAACTGATGTGAACACACTGGAAATCCGACTAGGTTTCCCATTAAGTTTTCAGCAAGAAAGAATGTCATAAACCTGTCCTGGCCAATGCTGCAAGGACTGACAAGAGCTGAGCACATGCGGAGGGCACTTTGTTGTCTGGAAATCAGCTTCTGAGCATGTTAGAGGGGACTTGTCAGCCTGAAAAAAGCGTGCCAAAGTGTGATTTACTCGGGTCTGGCAGATAGCAAAAGCACTGTATATCATCCCTTGGTCCATGCACACTCTAAATTAGCTCAAGTGCTTAGAAAGTTATCTTACAGCTGCAGGAGTAGGTAAGTGAAAGCAGAGGGGCACTTAGACGATGACCATGAAAAAACATGTCTCAGACACTGCTTTATTGTGAACATGAATTACTGTGATGATCCATTCATTCTGGATGTTTTCGGTATGAAAACAAATTATTCACCACCAATATACAACATCTATATGGATTAAAGAGGAGTAAACACTGGATAACTAGCTTGTCTCTTCAGCACAATTCTTTGGAGACAAGAAGAGTGGCAAATAAACTCTCAAGATCATCTACTAAATAATGCATCTTTGTATAACTAAGTATATCTCAGTCAGAAGACTTCAGCTTTTAGACTTTTTAGACAACTTTCAGAGTAATTATCTGAGAATTCCAATTTGGACATTGCACCCAGCATGATTTTTATTTTGTTTATTTTAAACTTATGACTGGATAAATGAATTTTCATTGTCTGATCAGGGCAGAATGATTTCTGAAACTTATGAGTACTAAACTGTCATGGTTTTCACTGTTATATATATATTTTCCTCATTGATTAAAACCTTACATTTCTACAGCCATAGGATCATTTATTCTACTAGGAAACTATTACCAACAATTCATTTTTCACTAGTTTTGTAGAGTGTGCACTTGGCAGCACTTGGAAATCACATTAGGTTAAAAATGACAAAACAGAGGCCTAGGAGCTTTGACAGGAAGGGAAAGACAAGAGAAACCATGGACATAATGCCCCTGAGGCAGGTGGTCTGCTGCTCCAAGGGCACTCACACATCCCACATTACCATGCTGATGTGGTTGCTGCCTCCTCTTCCACCTCACACTACTGCTTCCCCCTCAAATTGCAGGATTTTTCGTACTAACACCTCGTACTCCCTTCAGCAGTAACTGCACTGGTGAATATACAGTCACAGAAGCCAACCGTGGAAAAGGTGTTATTAAGAATGTTATTTACGGATTGAATTATTGTCTCTTACAGACATATCCCATCAAGCCAGTTAAATTCACAGAGCCTAGCAGAAAACAGGGAATACTGGTGAGTCACAGGTGCTCCAGCATTAACTATCTCAGACCACAAGAACTGTGTTTCATAAACTTATTACCCTTGAAGTTTCAAAGCCAGGTAATAATTTGCTGGGCTTCCCAGGCATAAGGCACAAGCAATCCAGACCAGTCAGCTTCAAACAACATCTTCATTATAAAGCAGCAGAACAAATGAATGGTGAAAACATATGATTGCAACGAGACAAATACATAGCAGGCAAGAGAACAAAGAAAGTTCTTCCTGTTTTCATTACTTTTGTTACAAAACTGATTCTTCCGAGCACAGTATGTTTGCGTGCTCTGCTGAGCCAAGTGGAAAAGGCTTAGGAGAGGCTCCCGGAGCCCTGTCTAGGAGGCTGTGCAGAAGCATCACCTCACAAGTACCCATGTCATTATTTGGCCAGGATGCTGGGACTTCCCAGGTTCCTTCTGCAGGGCATGTCAGCCAGGCACAGTCACAGCCCGCAGGAGACACCAGAGTTGCAGCTATGCCCTGTCCCAGGGTACAGGAGCTGTTCTGCATTCTGCACAGAGGCAGAAATACTAACAGAGTGTGCTGTGCCTACATCCAGCTGTGAAAAGGTCCCATCTGTGCATCCTTCACAATTTTCCACATCAGAAGAAAAGTAGATTTTAAAGTACTATCAAAGCTGTTCATATAAATAACTCTTCTAACAGGCAGCCTGCCTGCAGTTTTATTTCACCTCCAGCTCGTAGCTGAAGCATTACCATAGTCACAGAACTGCTTTCCTGCTGTTCTGGTGTATGACAGTGACTGGCAACACAAGTGCTATTGAAAAGTGATGTTCTGTAAATCACCTGCATTACAGTAAACCCTGAAACTTCTAAAACAACTGCAGAATAAGGAAGACATGTGCTCTTCATGTCTAAAGATCCAGCCAAGCTCCAATATTCTCTTTTGTATGGCAGATAAACCTGTTTTCCAAAGAAAACAAGAAGGCTCAGAAAACTCAGGCCTGCCCTGAGTGCTGGTGCCCAACAACCACAATACCCAGTGTTGTCACTTGATATCCCTGTGCTGAATCCAACCCCTGCCAGGCAGGTCCTGGCTGCAGAGGGAGAAGAGATGAAGCTAATTCAGTTTTCTGCACTGCATCTCTGCACGAAACATCTCTCTACAAGACTTCTTCTTCTGTACAGTGTCAACTGCAAGGCAGATAGAAAAGAGCAAAAAAGTTGAAGATCTATAGATCTATAATTAATAGCCAGTAAGATCAGAAAGAAAGAGAGACCCCAATATGATGACACTAAAGAAAAAGAAAAGTATATGTCAGCTGCTTAACAGGGAAAGTGAGCAAA